ATGCATCAACCATTTTAACAGGAACTAGGATCATGCATGATTTCTAACTAGTTTCTTGTTTTGGCTCGGAGTACACTGTGAGTGTTTATGCTTTAGCATCTTGCATGTGTGTGAGTGTTAATTTGACAGCATGCTTGCCATGAGGCTAATCGTTTATGTGATATAATTGCTTGAATGCCTGTGGGTGAAGGTTGGATTACTTGAATTGGAACGATTCATTGAAATCGGTGTTTTAACCTACTTGTGAGTAGCAAACTTCAAAACCATTTCCAAACAAACGGACATGCAATGCTTTGTTCCAAATTAGGCGATCTAGTCTATACTTGTGTGTTGTGCGCATCACATAATAATTCTAGCTAATAACCGGAATAAGAACGCATGTGCTTTCAAAAATAAGATATCATGCTTAGTACAGGCCGATCTTTGATCCGGCGAGCGGGGGTGCTCATAGATGATCATCCCCAATCGTACCCAAGTTCCCGAGCCGAGGCAACTTTGGTGATGACGGACACGTGACCTTAGGCAACAAGTCAGGGTTTCCTAAATTCCCCCAAAACAAAATATTTAGGTGGCGACTCTATATCTGGCAAAGCAGTCCATGTTTGACACTTCTTTCTTAAAAATTAGTTTTTCAAAACGATTTGCCGGATTTGGACTCTTTGGTGATTTATCTGTCTTGCATTGCACTTTACAAGATTAGATTCAGAACGTGACATTAAGTCTGAACTGTAGCATGAAGCCCAAGGGCGCGTCTACATGAGGCCACCACCATTGGAAATTGGACTTCTGGGGCTTCAATTTGCACTCAAGAATCTCCTAAGCCGAGTCCGGATGAGGGAGATATGGCCGTTTGAAGTTAGGCATCAATTTGGTTAAGATAGAAATGAGCAGCCTTCACTAAAATAGGAATATCTCTTTGTACACTTAGAATTTAGATATGAGGCTTCCACCATTAGAAAGTAGACTTCTGGGGCTTCACTTTAGACTCAAGAATCACTTAAAATCGAGTCCGGATAAAAAAGATATGCCTATTTAAAGTCAGGTCTAGAAGTGGATTTTTGTGGCCAGCAGGCCACTATTTGTGGATGGCCGACCACTACTTCTAGCATGCCGGCCACTTGTGTAGAGCCCAAATATTCGTTGCCAGCTGTCCCCCCAAAGCTCCAGCTATTTGTATATAGATATTTTCGACTGAGGCTCATGTTTTTCTATATACACTTGACCTTCCCTCATGTTTTTAGGTTACAAAAAATTCCAAAAGTCCCAAAACTTGAAATTCTTTCTCTATCTCTATCTTGCAACCTATACACTCTCTCTCTCTCTACACTTCCTAAACCAATATTGGAGCTCTCCTTGTTGATATTATTGAGTCCAAATTTCAGCCCTTGAGAGTGAGAACTTGTTGGTTTGTGAACAAAAGTGTTATTCCTCTTCAAGATGTATAACTACTAGCTCCTTTGCACTACTTCTTTCCTCTATTTTCTTGCTAGTTTTGAACTACTTTTCAACTGTTTTTATGGGCTGAAACTTATGGTTTAAAGCTACTAAAGGTAGAGGGGTTAATCACCCTTCCTTGAACCTTGTCTCCTAAGCTTTTGCCCTTGTGTTTCCCATCTCTTCATCAATTTTTTTTTAGCCTTTTACCACTGATTTTCAGAAATTTTCAGATGCTAAAAATGTGGTTTTGAAGTTCCATAATGGTGAGGGTAGCCTCTTCTCCTTATGCTTTGTTTACTAGCTTACATAGCCTCATGTTTTAGCTTATTTTTCTAACTATTTTTGTCTTAATTCCAGCATGTTTTAGGACTAATTTAGCACTGTTTTTAGTGGTTCATTGCATTTGAGCTTTGTATTGCATGCTTGTAATGTAATTGTCCTCATAGGCTTGGTGGTTTAGGCTTTAGCCACTAACCTATTTGAGTTGATAGTATTTGTTTACAGTTTTCCATACTTGTTTTCACCCCTAATCACTTCTGTAACCTCCCACCTTTCTTGGCTTTTGCTTTGCTTTGAAACTTGGTTCAAACTATTTGCTCGTTTAAAGCATGAGATTGAGGTCTTGTGCTTAGTCGTTTAATCCCTTTGCGGGTTCATTACCAATGGCATGACACTTCTCTCATGCCTAAAACAACTCTTGGTTTGATGCTTTTTTCCATTAGAGGATTTAAAGCTCACATTTGCACTTAATTTACCAAGGAATGGTTGGTAATTAAAATGGAGTAATAAAATGAGGGCTAAAAATGATGCAAGAGAATAACTTGGTTTGGGTTCAATTGGACATTAATTGAACCCTTGAGTCTTGAATCGTTTCGTACTTGTTAGTGACGTAAACGGTTAAAAAGTAATTGTCAACCACTTCCCTTGATCAACCCATGATAGGGAGGAGGTTTGAGAGTCTTTATTTGTTGCATTTATTGAACTTTCACACTTTGGTTCATAGGCCATCATGCAATGAAATTACATCGATTGGTGGTTTATGAATCAAGTTTACCTCTCATTTGAGCTGTTTGATGATAAGGAGGGATAAGTTGTGCAAACAACCCTTGAGAATACCTTGTTCTTGCTCTGTATGCTTTTTGTTGCAGCAGGAGGAACCGAACTTTTGTGCCTGGCATGCCACAAGTTTTGGACGACAGGCTACTATTTGTGGTCAGCAGGCCACCAGTTCTCGCTGCCGGTCACTTTTGTCAAAATGAGCAGTGACTTTCGGGAGCAGAATAGAGCTGTGTCTAAGGTGAAAAGATGTTCTACTGTGCAACAGAAGCATTAGCTAGAATAGTTAATTAATTGGTTGTTGTAATAACTTGTTAAGTAGCTTAGCTAATTTATTCATTTGGGTTTGTAATAGTTAGTTAATTCATAGTAATTAGCTTAGCTAGTTAGTTTATTCGGACCCTCCTGAGTGAGGGCGCAAAACTTGTAACAATGTGTATGTCTTCCAACCCTATGTCTTTCTCCCTTTTATTTAACTACTTATGATGGTTAGTTTAGGACATCATGTTTTTTTTTTAGCATTTTTCATGATTTGCATCCACTTGTTTTGCATGCACTGAGGCTCTACACATCATTCTAACTTGCATTGTCATTTAAATATTTCTTTGAATACGTGCTTAGACTGCATGCCATCAAATTGATTCATATGCCATATTAGTAACCAAGCCTAGTATTGCATATCGCATGTGTTGCATTAGTCATATTGCATAATTGGGATCATGCATTATTCTAACTCTGTCATCTTTTTTGGCTTGGAGTATTGGGTGAGCTTTTATATGTTTTAGCATATTGCATTTGTACGTTAGTGTTGCCATATCAAAGCATGTTCACCATGAGACTAAGTGATTATCAGATAAATTGTTTGAATGCCTGTGGATGAAGGCTAGTTGCTTGAATTGGGATAACCTGATTAATGTACATTTAAGCCCACTTTTTCAAGTGGCACATTCACAAACTCTTTTCAAAAACAAACATGAGATCAAGTGTTCCAATTCTTGCAAATTAGTCTATACTTGTGCGCAAATCACATAGTAATGTTAGTCTAATAACCGAAACAAGAGCATATAATGTCAATAAAATTCACATCATGATTAGTAGAGGCTGATCTTTGATCAGGCGAACGGGGGTGCTCAATTCATGACCTTCCCCTCTCGTACCTAAGTTCCCGAGCCAAGACAATCTTGATGATGACTGACATGTGGCCTTTGGCATAAGTCATGGGTTTCCTAAATTTTTCAAAAATATTTAAGTGGCAACTTTGTATCTGGCAAAGCAGTCTATTTTTGGCATTTTGATTGAAAATCAATTTTCTAAAAGATTTGTCGAATTTGAACTCTTTGGTGTTTATCTATTTTACATTGCACTTGTAAGAATAGATTTAGAACTGCGGGAGTCCGAACTATAGGGCTTATTCGTCTTCTGAAAGGAGCATGAAAAGTCAAGCTAGAGTTTCTGGCGACTTTGCTAGGGAAATTAGAGAACTTGACTTGAACCTCATGATGTGAAATTTTATCTACACTTATATGTTTTTTACATTGCATTTATATTGGCGCGCCTAAGTCACTGTGTTTGCCATCTGCTATTCTTGGACGGTTTGCTAGAGGCTTGTCCAAAATCTTGCCAAATGGCTGACCGGTCGTGGGCTTTGCCATGTTGGGAACATAACACTTGGATCTGGATTACCGCTGTACCGTTTGATCCTCCTTTCACTTCTCGATGTTAGGTGTAAGAGGTCTATTAGGTAGTCCTGCTGAGTTACCCCTTTGACCATTTGGCCTAGCCGCATACAGTAAAGCCATAGTGACTGTTCTAGCTTAGGACAAGATATTCTCCCATATGCAGAATGATATGATACCGCTTGTTTGAGTAGTAAAACTGTAGATCACTTCAAACCTAGGACATGGAAACCCTCACTACAATAAAAAAAAGTTTTTACGGCACACAATGCACGCCATAAAAACCCTTCTACGACATGTAGCGCCCGTCATATTATGACCAGTCATGGAAAGTCATTCACTTTCAACGACATGTTTCGTACGCCGTTAAAAACTATTTAACGGCAGATTTTGTGCGTCGTTGTTACTTTTTCTATGACATGCTAGAATATGCGGTTAAAAACTATTTAACAACATATTTTGTACATCGTTGTTACTTTTTCTACGACATGCTAGAATATGCCATTAAAAACTATTTAACAGCAGATTTTGTGCATCGTTATTACTTTTTCTATGTCTACTTTTGCACACCATTAATTGGTGAGACAAATAACGACGCTGACTGCACCCCGTAAAATATCTAATACAACGATTTATTATGCCTGCCGTAGAATATACAATTTTTTTTTTAATTTCTAAATTTAGCAGGTTCTATTTGACCAATTTTGTACAATCTAACAAATATTACAAACAAGCATCACAAAATATCAAGTAACTACCGAAATATTGTTTGAAACATCAAAAAGAAACTATATCCATAAGTTATAAACATTCAACAATTATCTATACATTCCAAACATTCGAAAACTATATCCTTAAGTTCTGAATTGTACAAAAAGTTTAAACCATAAAAACTATGCATATCTAACTTTCTAAACATACCGATAACTATTAAGAATTTATCTAAAACTACTGACAACAATTCCTATAGCAGTAGTAGTTGCAGCTGCAGCGATAGCCAATCCGCTTGCTCCTATCATAGGGACGATGGTGCCCAATGTATGTGTTAAGGCACCTAAACCCGCGACAATAGCTGGAGCAACTAACTCTGTTGCATTTTTTGTCTGCATGACAAAGGAAACTTCACATGAGTACAAAAACCAATGACTCAGGGACCAAAATATTTCTTGAGGTATTAAGAAATGATCATGAAATTTTAAAACATCAACAAAACATTTCCAAAATTAATAAGATAATTCAATGGCCGCGTAAAAGCAATGTCATAATGAAAAATTAGCAAAAATTCAAGATCTCAATAGTTTGCTACTAAATCTAGGCCATAAGAAGCTCAAAAGAAAAATCAAATTTAAAAAGAGGAAGAGGCAGAATTAATCTACTTCAATGCAGCACCTACTTAGGACTTGCATAATTATGTTAAAAGGATCTCTATGTACAAGGTTTAGGTCTGTATAGGTTTCATCCATTACCATTGTAAGTTCCAAAATAAAGAGTCCAAGTCAAATTAGAGTCTATATTATTTACAAGTTTAAAAAGAAACTTTCAATCCACTATAGAAGAAATTTAGGTAAGTTTTAGTAGCTTTAAACACTTTTTGTGACAATGCGATGTAATTCTACTTGAGTACTTAGCAGCAAATACAAAAGATAAGGAACTATAGGAATAATCCCGAAGCTAATCTTTTTCTTTTTCTCTAATTTTTCACTAGTATCTAATTCAATCACAAGCTATTACTAATTCCATTGACTCTTGAACCTTATAGCCTACTTCTTGATATTATATGCCTTTTCTCTAATAATTCAACCCTAAAAAGTATGCCACTTGAAAAAACTAAACAATATTCATAAATAACATAGTTGCTTCATCCATACCATTTATAATCTACAAGCCACGTCCTCCTAGTGTTTCAAAAAACCGACCGCCAACTATTGGGTACTTAAAGGCCTATTCCTCACAACTATCCATCATAAATGTTCTCAATACCGAATTTGGGTAAAGCAAACAACCTATTATTGGAGTGGTACTATAATTTGATTCATCCAACTTGCATGTACACTTGTAGCAGTAACATGATTTAAAACGAATGAAGCCTCGTGACAAACATAAACCAAATATAGGTAAATATCTAACCCAAAAAAAAAACGGGTGGATAACTCCCGATTAAGAATCCAAGAAACATTTTTAAAAGACATTGAAACTGGGAAATAGACAGCAACTGGTACTGCAACAATTAGAATGAGAAAATTAAAACAACATTTGAATGAACTTCTAAGTTTGCCTTTCTTGTTGTATAGACAAATCACCAGTGCCTGACTATAGTTATATTAAGCTATAGGTTCACAATGAATAGAAACTCATGTGTACTAGACGAATATCTATATCTAGGACTATAAAAATAGAATGAAGTTCTTTCTTGTTTGGGTCCTTTCAAGTTGAAACATCAAATTTTTATTTCTTATTTCTACGAAGCTCATAGCAGAATATACACCAGAATTTTTTTTTTGAACTATGATTGCCGGTTAAAGCATGCCTAAGGGTGACTGGCGTCATGTGCTAGAATCCCTGGGTGATCATGTCCTATAGAGGGAAATCATGGAACAATAAAGCATCAAATCGAATTGCTTCCATGCTCTGGGTATGATGAAAAGTCCATGTAGAATAGAACAATCAACATTAATACTTCATCTATATTAAATTATCCGGGAGTATACAGGAAACTTCCAGTGAAATACAAATATATTTCCTTTTCTTTGTTCAAACATTAGTATTGGACCCATGTTTCACTCTTCTATCCACGTTCCACATTGAAGAACATTAATAATTCATGCATTATGAACTCTCCATGGCCCCTAATTACATACTGGCAAAGTATCTTATTCTAAACATTGTATTGTATATGAGCCATTATTGTCAGCAGTAAGCCTTTCCAGCAGATATCTAGAAGCCATGTTTTCATAGATTAGAACAGCCATGTTTTTTAGGCGTAGCATGATCTTCCGAATCCAAAAAGAAAAAAGCATAATCTTCCATAACTGTAACATGGACAAATTTATCTTCAACAAAATTTTTAAATGTAAATGACAAGCATCATGATGATTCATTCTCCAAGTATGAAATCAACAGGATATGATCTATAATGTTTATTGCGCACCTTAAGTAATACATGAACCCTATCTTCTTGCTCTCGATTTTGCAAACCCTGAATCAATTCATTACAAAACATATCAAAATACTTCCATGCTGACAATCCAAAGCATAAATTAATAAGATATGAGATAGCATGAGAAAATCTACATGTAGCAAAGATCAAACTTAACAATGGACAATATGTCAACATCTCATCCATTCTAACAGTAAAGTTTAATAGGCAAAAAGAGGAGATGAGCAACTCGTTCTCTACCAAGATGAAGCATAGTTTTATAAAGCATACTTATCAACAAGCATAGATCCTTTAATGAACTATAGCACAAATTTTCTCGATTCCAAACATCTTACAAAAATGTTTAAATCTCAGTGAATAAAATCCTGTAAAAGAAATTCAAAAAAAGGGGTTAATTACACTAATAGTCCTTATAGTTTGGGACTTGTGTCACTTTGGTCTCTGACTTTTCAATTGTGACACATTTGACCATGAATTTTGAATCTTGTTCCAAATAAGGACAATTGAAAAGATAATTAGATTTTTCAAAGGTAAAATCGTTAATTTGATAAAATATAAACTAATTTGACAAAAATAAATGTCAAAAAAATATTTTTAATTTTTAAAAAATTATTTTTATCCACCAATGATAAAATTTTGTAAAATTAATAAAAATTACATGATGAATTTTTTAAAATTAATTTTACATGATCATCATCCAAACACATAATAAAAATTAATTTGATAAAAAAAAATAAATAAATGTCTAAAAGATTTATCAATTTTACATAATTTTATTTTCAGTAGGTAGAAATAATTTTTAAAAATTCAAAAATATTTGTTTGACATTTATTTTTGTCAAATTTGTTTATATTTTATCAAATTGACAATTTTACCCTTGAAAAATCTAATGATATCTTTAATTGTCCTTATTTGAAACAAGATTCAAAATTCAGGATCAAATGTGTCACAATTGAAAAGTCGATGACCAAAGTGACACAAGCTCGAAACTATAGAGACTATTTGTGTAATTTGCCCTTCAAAAAATGAGGAGGCAATATCATTGTGTGCACTAATAGTCTGCATACATCTCAAACATTTACTTTTAAGGCTTTAGGTGTGAATATCCCAACCATAAGCATGTTGGAAGATGTGGCATGCACATCATAAGTTTCTAAGAACAAGGACTCAACTTGTAGAAGGGCATGCATAAAAAACGTTCCACAAATTGCCAAACTTTTATCTAAGTTGTTAAAAAAAGATCAACAGATAACGAAAAAAGACTCAAAAATAAGTACTTTGATATCTATTTTATGCGCCAAAGGCAGACGAACTAATTATGATGTAGTGATCAATTAGTATAGACACTTCATTTTTCAAATTGTAGTGTGTTACCACAGAATCTAGCAGGTCAATTGTATGCACTGTAATAATCAAGAGCATAGAACATACCATTTCTTGGTAGAAGGTGTACAATACAACTGACATCAGTAAGCTCATTCCATTTATATTCATATTGATAGTATGCATCTGGAAAGAAAAAGAAGTTGATGGCTTTAACAAGGCTTCTTCTTGGAGATATATTAGCTGTTAAAAATGTCAACCTATGGAGTACAAAAAATGAGTACCACTTATTATGGAGTGATAAGACGTATTTCTATTTCAAACCGAACAAAAACCAATTAGCTTTAAACAACAGGCAGGGGAAAGAACTGGATCTTAGTTGTAGGAATCGTGCAACTAGGTGGCGATTCTGAGAAAGAATCGCGATTCCGCGTTTCCTAGAAAGAAACGTGTAAGAATCGCGTTTCTGTGGAGAGAGAAACGCGATTCCGTCCAAGATGGGATCGTAAAGGAGAGGGAGAGAGAGAGAGAAACCCTTGCCTTCAACGTTGACATGAGAGGAGACAGAAGAAGGGTTGTTGAGAGAACTTACAGTGGACCAGTGCTGAGATTAGGGCTTTGATTGCCTTCGTCACTCTCTTCTCTCACTATCGATCACGATCGTCTTCATCTCTAAGGGCTTCGATCATCTTCGTCTCTCTCTCTTCGTCTCCATGCTTCTCTCTCTCTCTCTTCGTCTCTATGTTTAATTGATCATATATAATATATAATATATAATATATATAATTTATCATATTTAATATATATAATAAATATAATTTATGTAATAAAATTTATAAATTTTAATTTTTATCATATATAATAAAATTTCTAATTGTTATTTCTTAAAATATCATATATAATAATTTTTGTAAATTATTATTTCTTAACTTTTTAACATATAATAAATAAAATAAATCATCTAATTATTTAAAAGAAATCTAATTAAATCACATAGAATAAAAAAATTATAAAACAAAATATCTAACATTTCTTTTTATTTATTTTAACATAATTTATTATTCCTTATTTATTATAATTTTTAATTTATAATATATATATATATATATATCAATTAAAATAAAAATAAATAAATTAACAATAACACATTATTTAAAAAATATAATAAATAAATAAAATATTTAATGTGTATTAAAATAAAAATATTTATAAAAAAAATTCTAATGTGTATTAAAAAATATATATTTATATCACTGCTCCCTGAGGCGTTCCCAACCTAAAAAATGCTCACGCTTCCTTGCTTCCGCCCCCGCTCCCACTCCCGCCCCCGCTCCCGCTTCTGCTTCGTTAGATTATAGGTTTTTTTCTTTCTTAAAAGAGGATCTATTTGAAAGAAAAAAGAAGAAAGAAGAAATGCATTTTGAAAATCCTAACCAAATCTTGAGACAACCATAAAACATTTACACACATTTTCATCTGTAAAATGCCCCTTTCTCTTTCCTTTTCTATCTCATTCAACTTAATAAATTGATTGTTGTAAATGGGAATGGATTCATGTAAAAAGGGGCTCATTTGCATACAAATGGGCTACTATAATCATGCTAATAAATAAAATTGAAACCAATAAGTAAAAGAATTACCAATAACTCAATCATCCCAACAAGGGCATCGGTGATACAAAGAGAGGCAGCATCACCAAGCATTCCACCAGTTACATGTTTTCCCTAAGCTTTCTACCAATTACAAACTAGCGCCACTTTTCTTATATACATATATGAGTGAGTGAATGTGTGTAAGAAAGAGAGATAAGAGTGAACTGGGCAGAATCAGAGTCCGATTATGCACATAACTCTGCACAAAACCAGTGAAGAAAAAAGAAAGAAAGATGTTTTTCGGTCAAAGAGTGAAAACTCTAATTTTCCTCAATTTGTCTCTGCAGATGGTGTGCTAAGTGAATGAATGACTAATAAGTAACTTACATATAGGGGCAAACTGAACTTTTTGTTTTCACATCAACGATGTGAGGTATGCATTTTAGTTCACAAATCACATGGGGGTTAAGTAGTTATTATCAAATGATAAGGAAGCTTTATGCTCATGACCTATACCACACAGGGTAAACTGAAATTTGCCCTATCCAAAAATTGATCGAGAGCAGAGAAAGGTTAGATACACCCAACTCCCAAACTACACAACCCAAAAAAATAAAAATAAATAAAAATCTATGAGTACACATATGAGCCTACACAAAGATATATGTATATGTGGCTTGCTTGATTTTAGAATTAGGTACATAACACCAACACAAATACAATAATAAGAATAATAATAATAATGATAATAATAATATGATGCACAATTGGAGGTACAAAACTAGGGTACACAAAAACTGTGAGAATTCAAAATAAAGAATCATACATTTTATTACCATAATTGAACTTGAACAAATGCCTTTGTATGAAAGTGACTCTGTTTTCTAAACAATTTCAAAAACATGTAGTCATGAACAGATTATTCAAATGCACAAATAAATACATACATACATATAAAAAAATATATGAACCTGTTTACTAAAGAGAATTGCTATATAATTTTTTTTTTGAAATTTTTTATATGAATAAAAATTTCCTTCCAATAAATAAAATTCGTAACATGCACTGCTTCAAATAATTATGATATTATAAGTGTGATACGCTCATTCACCTTATGAGATGTATATGTTTTGATTTTTCATTAATAAAGACTATCAATTACCTTGAATATGAGTGAAAACATCCCAGTTGCTGAGACTCTTACCATCTTCAAGAATTGCTCCTTCAATCTGTGACAATAATATGGAAAAAGTCTAAGAAAGAGAGAGAGGGCACAATTTAGAAGGCAAGAAGAAGAAGAGACATACTTGGTATGAAGAAGTGGATGTTCCAAAGAAGAAACCATCTGGGAATTGTGATCTTTTGATGTCTTCTGCTTCATTGAAGCTCTCAACAAAAGAATGAACAAAGGAAAAAAGAAGAAGAAAGCAGAGGTAGAAATGGGTACTTTTGTCTTTCATTATGGTTTGCTTCAATTTGTCAAAGATTTCCAGATCAGTGTAACTATGAAAAACTTATGGACATTCTGGGCATATTGTGTCACGACCCGAACCCGCCCTCGTGGGTTAAGGACGTAACCAGCCAGTAATCATGATATTACCTACGGCCTCAAACCAAACCAAACGTATTTTAACAGAGTTAATGGGGGCCAAACGGAATCAATTTAAAACTTTGTCCATAGAGTTGTGCTTATATGCACGTCATAATATTCCAGACATATGTACGTTAATAACTCACGACAGATAGTGCAGTAACATAAGTACTGTACAGACAGGATCATTCAAAACTAAGTCAACCCATCACAGCTATGTATAGATATACACAAAGTCCTTGCCAACATGACAAAATGTGAATACAAAACAAAAGGGCGAAGACGGGTCTCGTACGTGAGACACGAGGGCTGACTCTCCAAAACCTTTGTTGCTCCTCACAGACTTCACTAGGGTTGGGTTTGGACTTCTCTTGGCTCACCTACAAACACATGAATGAGCGTGAGCGAAAGCCCAGTGAATAATATCAAATCAAATACAAAAGTTACATAACAATGTAGAACAACATGTTCCAAACGGCCTTGGGCCCAATTCATATTTCTATTTAACAGATATATAACTATACAAAATTCAAATCAAGTGACTGTAGTTCCAAACATTCTGGCCTTTGGCCCATTCAGATTTCCATTCATGTCAAAACGGCCTTCGGCCCATTCATTTAGCGTATTTTTTACCAATCAAGATCATGTACCCTCTGCATAAGTTTGCCACTTTATATATCAAGGAGATTATTCGTTTGCATGGTATCCCAGTATCGATCGTGTCTGATCGAGACCCTCATTTCGTGTCTCACTTCTGGAATAAATTACAAGAAGCTTTGGAAACTACACTGAAGTTTAGCACAGTCTATCATCCACAAATCGATGGGCAATCCGAAAGAACAATCCAAACTTTGAAAATATGTTAAGTGTATGCGTGTTGGACCTTAAAAGTAACTGGAATGAGCACCTACCTTTAGTAGAATTCGCCTATAACAACAGTTATCAGGAAAGCATTGGAATGGCGCCATATGAAGCTCTGTGTGGAAAGAGATGTCGATCACCTCTGTGCTGGATGGAGGTCGGGGACAGGAAATTGTTAGGCCCCAAAATCGTGCAAGTCACAAGTGAAAAAATCCAACTCATCCAACAGTGGATTCGCACTGCTCAGAGCCGCCAAAAAAGTTATGCGGATACTCGGAGACGAGACTTGGAATTTTAAGTAGGGGATCATGTGTTTCTCAAAATCTCACCAACAAGAGGAGTGATCCGATTCGGAAAGCGCGGAAAGCTAAACCCACGTTACATCGGGCCATTCGAGATACTGGAAAGAATTGGTTCTGTAGCCTATCGCCTTGCACTACCTCTTGAGCTATCTAATATCCACAACATGTTTCACGTTTCAATGCTCCAACAGTATCTCCGAGATCCAGAACATGTCATCGAC